AATTTGAGATATAAAGGGAAAAAAGTGTGCGATTTGACGTTGAATGGCCCATATATATTTGTTCATGTACTTGTTTATTTTTAATAGAAAATGCAGTGCAGAATGCGTAATGAGCAGTATAAAACACACATTAAGTAACTTAGCATGTGTAATACATGATATATAACAAATAATATATAATATATAATATACTTTCATAAAATATGCTTTGCATCGATTTTGGTGGTTCAACGCCAAAATTTCAAAAGCTAAAATGGGTTTGAATTTTACAGTTTGTTATAGTAATTTCAGCCCTGTAAAGTTTTCAAGGTCTGAGGTGTTACTTACATTGCTAAACTAAAAAAACAAAATTTGGTTTTTTTACAGATCTCGTTTTGTTGTGTTTTTGCTAATAAAATACTTTTCGCGTTTTATTTTCACCAGAACCTTTGGTTAGTAGTTGTAATTTGTATACAGTCTGACTGGCATTTAGATTACTAAAATGTCTTGCATCTGAGTTTCTTACATAATGTTTCTAAATTTTTGAATTCAAATGGAAGACGGAGAATCCGTGAAAGATTGTGCAATTAAAGTTCTTGCGAAATCAAAAGATGGGAGCTGGAATCCCGACGAAAAAGCGTTGGAAATGATTTTCATGTCTGAAAAAGTGAAAAATAAAAAGGTATTCAATATATAAAGTGTTTTTAATATTTCTTATGTCATAATATTTAAAAGTTTCTGCCAATAATTGTTACTGGAGTAAAGTACTGGATCAAAAACCAGAGAATCTTTCATTTTGTTAAAAGCGTTTTGTACCTTTTTTGTTATTTGTTTTTTTTAAAAAAACGTTTTTGATGAAGGTAGTGATACTAAGCATTGCTGGTCCATCGCGCACCGGGAAAAGTTTTTTGTTGAGTTTTCTTCTTCAAGCCGCTATCGCAGTTGAGCAAGGACGTTCCACCAAGAATACGTTAGAATTGTCAAATACTTCTCATGGGTTTAGCTGGAGAGGAGGTATATCAATTGCATGCGGTGTCAAAAACAGGAGAAGTTTTCGATTTTATAACTCTAAGAAATATTTGATTTTTTTATGTGTACTTTTTGAAGAAAAGTATTTCAAGTAGCATTTCTCTTTGTTCAGGATCAACAAGAGAAACATCAGGTATAACTATCTGGTCCAAGCCTTTTCTGCTGAAAACCAGAGATGGTGAAGAAGTTGTCGTTTTGCTTATGGATACTGAAGGCTTCTTTGATTCTCAGTCTACTTGGTCGGACTGTGCAAGAATTTTTGGTTTATCAAATCTAATATCTTCTGTTCAGGTACGTAAATTTCTCTGTGAAATAAAGCGCATATTACAGCAATAAATTTTTGTGTTTTTTTTGGGAAAAAAAGAAATTTTGTTTTTTATTTCAAAAAAATTAGGCTTTATTAATCTTCAATCTACTGTTTTATTCAGATTTACAACCTTAATAGGGGACTTCAACTCGACTATCTGAAGCAAGTGGAAATTTTTGCACAGTATGGCTCATATGCAACAGACAACGAAAAAGCGAAACCATTCCAGGTTTTGATAAAATTTTGCTACAGCTTCTGAAAGCTTTTTTCAGACTTCCTGAAACAGGCTTTCTGAATACAATACAATGCACTAATTTGTAGGAACTTCTGTATTTGGTTCGAGATTGGCCGTACAAGAATGAACACTCTTATGGTTTTGATGGTGGGGAGCGCTATTTGCATAGATTCACTAAGGTAACTGGTGTCTGATCGTTTTTTTCAACACCAATTTTAATATACAAATTGTTATCAAAGACTACTACTTTCAAAAACTGTACATTATCGTTTAGTATAGCCTGTAAATTTTAACTGGGCTTTTGAAAAAATCTTATACAAAATAAATTTCAAATTCTTTCACATTGTTGAAAGCTTCTACAGAAGTCATCAAGAGAAATTCAAGAAATCTGTAAGAACATAGCAGAATGCTTTGAATCGTCTTCCTGTTTTTTAATGCCGTATCCTGGTCGCGAAGTCGCTGAAGCTGATGATGCTTCTAGCTGTTCAGGTGCATTTTCGTTTTAAAATTTGTTTGCAAAGAAATAAACCTAATCACCAGTTCTTTTGCAGAAATTGATAAAGAATTCTTAATAAGTACGGAATTGTTAGCAAGAGAACTATTTTCTGGCGAATACCTAAAAGTTAAGAAGGTAGCCGGATGTGAGGTGACCTGCAAAGAGTTGTTTAACTTTTTTATTGTGAGTTTGATAAACTCTGAAACTTTATTCTTACAAGTCACTTATTCGTTTAAGTTGCTGGCGGTTAAAGATTACAACTAGAGGTATTTAGGCGTACACGAAGTTGTTCAACTCCAACACCGCTCCACCACCAAAGGCATTGTTTGAGGTTGCCCCTAACAGCTTTTTTTTTTT